ATCTTGTTTTCTGCCTTCTGCAATGTCCACACGAAGTGACCGGTCACCCAATAGTGCACCATCGTAGGTCAGGGCTTCCTTCAGGGAGTCAACCTCATCGAATTCTACATAGCAGAATCCTTTAAACTTGTCTGTGTCTTTGTCTCTGACTAGCCGTACGCTCTTTATGCTGAGATCCTTAAAGATAGCGTCTATGTCACCCTGAACTGTGTTGAAAGGGAGGTTTCCTACATAGGCTGTGTAGGGGGGTTCTGTGGGCAGCTCCTTCTGGCTACGGGAACCATGGCCACCAGCACTGCCGCGGGACCCTCTGCCACCGCCGAAGCTGCTGTAGGCCCGATCGTCGTAGGTATCGAAGTCCGCCATTTGCCGTCTCCGCTCCGAGAGGAACCTCTATTTCAATCAGAACACACAGACTGCGTCTGCTGCACCATTCCCAGAGCCAGTTGCCCAATCATGAGTCATACATCTTGACTGGACAAGCACTGTGCTTCTGGACAGCTCCAGATTTTCTGCCTTGACCACTTCATGCACTACAGAGTACATTCTTGCTAAGTTATAGTTGGTTGTTTTGCCATTATACAGATCTTCTAAGGATGCTTTGAGAGGATGTATCATGTCCTCTCCTCTTCTTCTGCCATCTTGACTTCTACTCTGATTGCCCATGAAGCCAAATAAGCCTTCACCAAAAATGTGAGAGAAAATATCACCCATGCCACCACCTGCGCCGCTGCCTTCTCAAAGACCTTGCTCTCCATATCTGCCATATAACTGACGCTTTTCTGGATTTGATAGTACTTCATATGCAAAACTTATTTCTTTAAATTCTTCTTCAGCATGTGGATTCTGGATGATGTCAGGATGACATTCCTTGGCTAACTTTCTATATGCCTTCTTCAGCTCATTCTCACTGGCACCAGGCAGGACATCCAAAATATTGTACAGCTTTGAGTTGGTGGTGTTCGCCATGGTGGCCTGCAGGGCAGTGCTCTGAGAGGAAGGCGGTGGTGGCTCATGGAGCAAAGCTGGGCCACTAGCAGCAACGGCAGCAGTGGCACAGGCCAAGGGAGACAGCCACATTTAAATTTGTGTGTGTGTGTGTGTGTGTGTGTGTGTGCGCGCGCGCGTTCTAGGGATTGAAGCCAGGGATCTTGACCTGAGCTATGCCCCCCAATCCCTTTTAAATTTTGAGACAAGATCTTGTTAAGTTGTGCTGGCTGGCCTTAAACCTGCCTTAGCCTCTCAAGCAGCTAGGATTACAGGCCTGTGCCACCACACCTGGATCAATATTCAGTTTCTTTAAAATTAGGATTGGAGGGCCAGGGAGATAGATTAGTAGAATAAGTGCTTGCCTGGCAAGCGCAGGGTCCTGAGTTCAATCCCCAGTACTGCAAATACATAAATATATAAATAAATAAAATTAGGATTGGGTCAGGCATGGTGGCACACATGTGTGATCACAGCACTCAGGAGGCTGAAGAAGGAGGATCATAATGAGTTTGAGGCCAATCAGAGCTACATAGTGAGTTCCGGGTCCCCTAATCTACATAGTAAGAACCCATCTCAAAAAAACAAATAAAATAAATAAATAAAAATAAAATTAGGGGGCTGGGGAGATAGCTCAGTGATCCAAGTGCCTGCCCAGCACCAAGGATCCAGGTTCAATCCCCTTTGAGGGCCTGGGAACCCCAGGCATGTCATGCTGTCCACCAAAACCAGGCATGGTGGTGCAAACCTGTAATCCCAGCACTAGGGAGGCTGAGACAGGAGGATTACTATGAGTTTGAACTGCACAGTGACACTATGTACCAAATAAATAAATAAGTAAAGATTAAAATAAAATAAAATTAGGATCAGAATACTGTGAGAAAATGAAGAAATGGGGAATGCATGTTTAACAGTGTTTAAGCCTGAATGCAGCAGACAGGTAGGTGCTCAGCTGAGGTCTTACCTGCTCACGGGATCCCACCCGTGTGCAAGCTCCTTCGCCAAGAATCTGATGCACATCTTCCACACCAAGCATTTCACTTCTCTGCCTCTCTCTCTCCTGTTCCACAAGGATCCTGGGTGTCAGAGGACACAATATTTCCTCAGGGATACTAAGTGGGTGGACTCAGAATGCCGTCAGTGCCCTGCAGGCTGCTGTTTGCCATCCTTAAGTCAAGAGTGATGTAGATACCCATCTAGTCTTGGCTGTGGCAGGATTCTAGTGACCACTCTCTTCCTCTTACACAAACATCTTTTCTCCTTTACTTGAATCAGGCCAGGAATTTCTGCTCCAAGTTTAGAATTCCTGGGAAGATCAATACACACTCAGAAGTGCACAGGGCAGGTGAGATAGCTCGGCAGTCTAAAGTGCCTGCTTAGGCAAGCATGCAAGGATCGTGGTTCAATCCCTGGCACCACATGCTGTGCCAGCCATGACCCCATGATGGGCTGAGCTGGCCACAAAAAAAATGTGTCCAAATTGTATTGGGGTTTTAGGAGTCTCAAATTAAAAGAATAGAGGTTCAGAACACTGGTTTTGCTCCAAGGTAGACCTCTGTGGAAGTCAGGGATTGCAGGAGTGAGTGTACACTGAGCAAACAGGGTAGGTCTGTTATAGGGCAGTAAATGTTCTTGTGGAGAGGCTTCTGCTGGGATTGGAATGGTATTGTATGATAGGAACACGTGACAATAAACATAAAGAAAGGAAGGTATATTTTTAGCCAAACTGTCCAAAAACAAGAGCCTCTTGCTCTGCATCCTGAGCCTCTGGGCACAGCACGACCATCTGTCCTTACTGCCTGCGGTCAGAACCCCAGCGCTCACCTCCAGGAGCGGCTGCCCCCCCCCCCCCCCAAGCTCACATGCAGTCAAACAAATACTGCATTCTCCTCCTCCCCACCTTATTTGTTGCTAAAAATGATATTTTACAAGACATTACCGCTGTCAGTGGCAGAAGGAAGCTGTGTGCTAGAAGCTTTTGTCAGTGGCTCCAGGGTGGGGCTTGTTTGTCACAGAGAGCCCTCATGTTTGTAGGCTTTTCAGCACTTGAAGGTCTGAGCAGACTATTGATTGGCTTTGAAGAAGCCAAGCAAACTCACTACCCACTGCCCCAGCTCAGCTCATGCGCTTAGGTTTTCTTGCTTTCTGTCAATCTGATAATCACCAGTTGCAGATTAGTTAACATAGCTTTATGCATACTGTTGGGAGCTGCTGAGGCTGGAAATGGGTCACATGTGTGAGAGCAGGACTAGGCCTCAGTGTCTAAAGCAGTCAAGCTGCCTCAGTCCTGAGAAATGGGTCCTACCTGGTTAATGTCTGCTATTGGAAGCTAGGCAACCTTGTGTCATGTGATACTAAATTTGCAAAGTATAAATAAACAACTGTCCTGTTGTTGGGGGGGGGATCCTTGCTAATCAGGCAAGGGGCCACCGCCTGATCCAGCTCTTATCCTCTTGTCTATCTTTTCTTCATTTCTGCCACCGTTTCTGCCCGGGTTACATCAAGAGACCAACAACACACACACACACACACACACACACACACACACACACACACACAATTACACTTCTATGGAAAGCCAGAGGGGCTGGGCTGAAGCCGCAATGCCAGCAGGAGGAGCACCTGGCTCTCTGTCTCACCCAGGTGTGCTGTGGCTTCTTCACTTTCACAGCCCTAGAACCTACTTCTAGGAACTCATCAGGAGTTTGCCAGGGAAAAGTTTTGCCCATTTTCTTGCTCTGCAGAAGAGCCAAACTCTGTTCCTTTGCTTAAAGCAACTGTGTCGCTAGCCAACTTCAGGGCCCCTGGCCATGGGGATCAATGCCAGCGCACACAGAGCTGGCCGGAGCAGTGTCTGGCAGGGGAGTGGTGACTGGGTGGAGCCTTCCTCAGCAAGCCAGCCTGCTCACAAATGTTGTGCTGGCTCTGCATGCTGCTTGTGTGACAGACATGGGAACTGCATGCTGTGTTCCAGTGTCACAGGACCATTGCCTCACATGTTTGAGAGCACTTTTTGCAGCCTGTTTAAAGCCACACTTGCGCCTGGACACATGGCTGCTCCCCAGCAGCACTCACTAGCCAGGCATCTCCCACCGCATGCTGGGGGCCAGGGCCCACCTATGCCACTGCCATGGCCTCAGCCTGGCAGCTTCCCACATCTTCCCATGTGGGCCATGAGCTTGGGGAAACTGGGGAAGAGGTTATATTTTTCCTTTCAGAAAATGGTGCAGTATATTTTTACTTAACAACCTAATACATATTTTATGTTTTATGACTAAATATTCTTTGCCTTGTAATAATACAGTAAGATTGCCATGTAATTGTCTATAGAGAGGATAAAAGGCAAGGCTTTCATGCAAATCTACAAACAGGAATACAATTCTTTATTATTATTGATTGCTAAAAGATTTTCTTTCCGCATTGCAACACATTAAAGGCGATGTGAAATTTTAGTATGGATGTCACATTTTTCTTCATATGAAAATTGGAAGTCTGGATTTTCCAGTGATGGGCTGCTGATTTTATGCCTCAGGTTGTTTTTCCTCCACAAATATATCTCTTAATCCTCTGGTCCTCTGCATTACTGTCAATGCCGGGTGATTTGTCATGGCAGTTAGTATTCCTAGAAGCTTCCTCATACAGGATAGCTACCAATATATTGATGCATAGTGGCTCCAAATTGCATGCATGTATTCATTGGACCTAAACTATATGCATTTCTACTGTGTCAGCTGCTGACCAACACCAATGAGCACAACAAAAAAATCAAAAGACAAGATATAAGGACACAGTTATTTTAATCGTGGCTAAAATGCAATGCTTTTGTAAATTTTGCTAGGATATTCCTATCCGAATACAGTGTAAGTGAAGGGCCTAAGACTGTTTCATTAGCATGAAGGTGGAATCTGCCGTGGGGATGCCAGGAAAAGCTGTAACCCTGTCCACACCTGTTCTCCCTGTCCTTATTTGTCCCCACATACTTATAAACTCTTTATACCACGAAGTGGGACTGGCAAAAAAGTAGCATCTCCTGTGAAATTTGGATTGCTATAGTCACTATATTAATCTTAAAAGGAAGAAACTAGATTTCAGCATATAGTCATCAACACTTGATCTCAGGAGGAAGGCAAAAAAGATGATGTAGAAGCAAACTAGTGGAAGAAATAAGTGCACAAAGACAAACTTAATTCTGTATACATTCACTAGCTGCAGGATTTACACGCTATTGGTCCAAGTACTGTCGTCAGCATTGGCCATGTACATACTGAACTTTGACATATGAGTGATCCTCATCAAGAAGAGGATGTGTGAGGGCCGGCCAGATAGCTCAGCTGATTAAAGCATCTGCTTAGGCAAAACACAGTGGCTGGGGTTCCATCCCTGGCAGGCTGTGCCAGCC